TAAACAAAGGATGCTTTTGTACATGCTTGATCACAATGATCACGTCTGAGGGGTAGTTAACCTGAGAGATTAATTGAATGAGGCGAAATACATGTTCTTTTTATTCTTTTCCTCACCTATTTGCCTATTCCTTTGCCATGAATTGGTGATGGTAAATGTTTGCATCACGACTACTGAGCTGTGAACCAGCCTAATCAAGAAACGTAACCTGAGGCAAAAGGAAGCCTCCATTGAGGACAACAAAAGCATTGATATGGGCATTCATCTGTTGAAGCTTTGTAATTTCCTGAGAGAATGCAAATTTTCGTGAATTCTAAAGTGCTAAGATTGGCTGGAGGTGGATACTGGCCACATAATTGTCAAGCAACCAGAGAGGCTTCAGACCCGTCGCTATTTATGGGCTTGTGCTAAAAAACTTTTCGGCGAAAATTTTAAAAGTCGAAAGTGAGGATTCAGTTTCGGGAACCGAAGGCATCTGCAGCTCTTACGCTCTTGCACGCCTTTCGTTTGCCCGTAAAAAATCTGTCATTTAAAAAAAAGTGGCCTGAATGATGGCAAATAACATCTAACAGTCCTTATTTGTTGGTTCACTCATCTATTGCTCTTTTGTGCTCACTTGATTTTAAAGGTTCTCCTTTAAACGCTCAAAGTAAGCTAGCGTAACACCATGTTAAGCATTGCTTCTCTGATATTAAAGATGGCCTTTCCTTAGAAAAGACCAATTACAAACCACACAGATGTGGTGTCTCCTCTCTGCATTTCTCTGACGACATATTAACTGTGATTATTTCGTAACACCTTTATGGCAAGATCGGTACTTGCAGACGGAAACCCAATGATGCTTTGCGAATTTTTATAGTCGAGTCCCATGTGAGCTCCTCAATTCCACTATTCGTGACTCATTCCCTATCACCCCAGAAAGTGAAGCTCATTCTCTCCCTCTTAATTGGCCAGAGTGGAATGGGTTTAATCCCATAATCACATAGACGCCGTCGATTCTCCTGGATTTGGCAAGGTATGACTCTCTCCAGACAAGAATTCTTTCGTTGTTTGCAAAAGTCCACGTTCCAAGTATTCATAATGTGTTCGCTATAAACCAATATTCTCGATACAGTGACGTGGATGTGGCAGTGAAGGAAGAAAACTACAAAACCAAAGCATTATATCAGTAACGTTTGAAATTGAAAAGGAATTTAAAGCCCTTCTACTTGCTAAAAATGCTGCAGCAAGAATTTGGGAGATTCCAGTTAATAAGCATTTCTTCTGATTAAGTGGGTGTGTTTGAACAAGGTAGTCTCTTCGTTTCTTCCCTTGGTCGACCCAGTATTGCAAACTACGATGCCACGAGACAATGTAGCATCTTAACATTGCCATGAAATGGTAGGAAGTAGAGGAGTCTAGAAATGTTTTGGTGTACTTTACAACAATCTTAAATACAGATTTTTTTTTGAATTTAGTCTTCTGAAAATATGACACTTTTATCCCAAAATACTATATTTTAGCAATTTTCACTTCGAAAGATATTTCCTATGAGTTACTAACTAACACCTCGATTACTAGTAGAATGATTATTCAAGACGCCATCGGAAAGTTTACCTCACCTTGCTTAAATACTGAAGTCTGTGGACAGTGATTTTCAATTATTAGTCAATTACATGAAGGAATTTCAGGTCAGAATCGCTTTTCTCCAGCGTGCTTCAAGGGTTGAAATTGTGTCCACTTTACTCTCATTAAATGCCACCTATTTCCCGTTGGATATCAACTTGCCTCTAAGGCACAATAAATTCGACAAAAGTGGATTAATAC